TGTCTTAAACTAAATTCATTTCATTTCAAGTACATATTTCAACAGCAATTTATAACCATGGAAATGAATCATTTCATGGAAATATCCCCTAAACTTTTTCGCTGCTTCATTCGGTCCAAATCGAAATTATTTCTGTCAGAATTACCCGTAATCTGCAGAATTTTCGATAATATTATAATAACTGTGATAAATATAGTGACGTCAAACAGGGATTACGAACACAATAACACGTACGATAATAATCGTATTGATAACGTCACTGAATTCGTAATTCTAAGAACTATTCAGCTAGAGCGTTTTGATTTGCACTTCACGTTAACTTACGCTCAGAATCAGAGAAATTCAAAACTGAAGTTCGCTTGTATAACTCTGAAAAAGCGCATAATTTCCGAACTGAGTTTGTTGATAGTGCTGAAAAGAATCATGAAAGCGATGGGATTAACGATGATAAAAACAGTAATGATTAGTATCGCTAGCGTCACAAAATCGCACAACTCTATGCAAAACGCACCTTTTCAGCCCATTTCTCCTCTTCATCTCCCTGTTTCCATCCGAGAAGTTTCTTTACAGCCGGTCCATGAAATTGAAATAAATTGTTGATCATTGTCACGAATAACAACTGAAAAAGCAATAGCTAACGCTTCTAATAATGATTAAAAAATCAATCACGATCAACGAATCGAAGAAAGTTAATTTAATTAAGCAGCTGATACAATCCAAGGATAGTATCGACAATAACTTCAACACGCTACTATTGGAAAACAGTGAACAATGTTCGATTTCACGATGAAATATGTGTCAAACACCTACAAAAATGACTGAGCACAAAATTATCTCACGGTCATGCATCAAAACATGACTTCAAGCATAAAAAGGTTACTTCATTCGAATCACAAGAGAAATGCATATCGTCTTGAAAGGATCACAATGGAACACGATCACAACAGAGAATTATAATGTTGCTTTTCCAGAATGCGAACGGAACATGATTAAATTGAAGCATTTGGCTATGAATCGTAAAGAATTACAAACATTAACCAATGATCAACAGTTGATATCAATCAGGAACAACATCAAGAAGATCATAAACTCGTATCGTATATTCAAAAGATCAGAATTAAAACACGTGATGATATGTTTCAACGAAGCTAGGCAATAGTAGTTTTGATTTGGTTGAAGCGAACTGATAAACGATCGTAGTGATTGAAATGAGAGAAAATTTTGATAGTGATAGATAGATAGATAGATACGTTGCCGACGATGCATTTACACGCAATCATATTCACCAAATAAAATTGAATCATCTATATTAGCGTTTAAGAGAACGTGCGGCACGACCCGATGATTATGTGACGTATTAAATGAGGCATTATAATTACAATACCTGTAATAATATTATTATTAATAATAAAAACAACAATAACAATGATAATGATAAAAAAGCAATAATAATAATAATAACAATATTAGTAATGGCAATATTATAAATGAAACTGATGACAACGACAACAATAATACAAGAGGCTGTGTGGTACTAAACAAATCAAGTTCAGTGTTTTGAAAGGAGAAATGAATGAGATGCAAACAAATTGATTATGTGAACTAAATTTAGCT